CAGTAGTTTACTTCCTTAATAAAACAAAAATTTTAATGCCTATATCTTAGTTTCTAAATATCATTGCCCTTTAAAACAAAAAAACAAACAAACAAAACCTGGGCCCCTGGAAGAAATGGCTGATTTTAGGGCTGGACAGGAAAAATGTAAGATGAACATGGAACATCTTGTGCTAGAAAGTAGTGTTAGAAAAAATAATAAGGGTATACCAAAAGGAAGAAGAGTCACCTTGAAGTGGCCAAATTTGGGACATTTGAGCATTAAAATAAATAAGGAGGGTGAACTGGTAGAGTATGGGGGATATTTAGGGTAGTGAAATGCTTCTGTATAATGCTGACGTGACAATATGTTGCAGATAGTTAAACAGACATGAGAGGGGCAGGACAAGGCTCTTCTCCAACCCACCAGGAATGTCAGGTGATGATTTGTGGGAGTTCAGTCAGGGTGGTGGCAAAAATATTAAGGGAAAATTATAGAGAAAGTTATAGAATATAGTCTCAAACCCTTTTGGAAGGCCTAAGGGTTTTGTCTATAGTTCTTGGCTGAAGGCAGCCAGAGTCTCTTTGAAGGAGCCGGAGAGATTAGGGTGCAAATACAAAGGAATATGAGTAGTTTACCTAGCTAGCTTGTTTATTCATGTGGTCTTAAACTTTGAGCCAGATGGCCCTCACAGGGGTTGGGAGGGGAGCATTAACCAGGGAGATTACCGTCTAATGGTGTTTGCTTTGGGCATTGGAACCTGGCTTTTAATCTGTCTCTACAAGTATGCTGACTTAAAGCCGGTTATTAAATCTATACTGAATAAATGGGAAGAAGGCAAGCTAGTCAGTCATGTAGCTGCAGTCTCTCTCTGTGAGTGGCTCACAACTCCCTGCCCACACATTCACTGGAAATTTGTGTCCGAGTGCATTTATTCATCTGTCATGCTGCTGGGGCCTGTGGGACAGACCCCGGAAATGGTTGAACAATCACATTGCCTCTCCAAGAATGATAATTCAGCATCCAGCGCCGAATTATCTCCTGATGGATCACAGCTATTACATTAAAGTGTTAATTGAATGCAGGCGCCAGGGAGAAGCAAAAGGGGCTTCCAATAAAACCTTCAGTATTGGGTGAGCGTGGGCATGCACATTGAGACAAAATGACAAAATATGACCTTCTGGGGGCACTCGGTTGGAAAAGGGAAGAAAGCCTCAGATGGGCATGTGTACAACTTCCTAAACGCATGCACATGCTCACTTCCCAAGCGTAAGGAGGGCACTGTGCATGCAGGCAGCCCACCCTAAGGGAAGAATCATGGGAAAGGGGTGCAAGACCCCAGAAGTGGGCCAGCCTGTAAGTCCTAGAATCACAGTTAAATGCTGCACTTGTCCTTCAAGTCACCCGTTTGGGTCTCTTCCAAGTGTACTTTCCTTTCTTTCCTGTTCTAAAGCCTTTTAAAATAAACTTCTACTCCTGCTCTGAAACTTGCCTCAGTCTCTTTTTCTGCCTTATGCCCCTCAGTCGAATTCACTATGCAGGTAACTGAGATGCCTTCCAGTTAGCTTGATTTTTTTTTTTTTTAATCCCAAAATCAAAAAAAAATGTCCATGACATGAAAGATAATGGCCAGGGAACTACTCTGGATAAAGAAAGCTAAAGAAGTTCAGGAAAACAAATCAATAATATACATCTATGATTTTGCATGTGTATTTACAGAGGGAATGCAGATGCGGCAAAATATTAACCATTTGCTGAATTTGGGCAAAGGGTATGTGGGAGTTCTCTTACTATGTTTGCAACTTGTCAATTTGAAAATTCTTTCCAAACAAAAAGTAAAAAGGGGGCTGGGTGCAGTGGCTCACACCAGTAATCCCAGCACCTTGGGAGGCTGAGGTGGGCAGATTACTTGAGGCCAGGAGTTCAAGACCAGCCGGGCCAACATGGCAAAACCCAGTCTCTACTAAAAACACAAAACAGGCAGACATGGTGGCATACACATGTAGTCACAGCTACTTGGGAGGCTGAGGCAGGACAATCGCTTGAAGCGAGGAGGCAGAGGTTGCAGAGAGCCAAGATCGTGCCATTGCACTCCAGCCCGGGCAACAGAGCGAGACTCTCCCCCACAAAAAAAAGTAAAAAAGAACATGCTGTATGGAAAAACTGCAAGTGCAACACCTCTTCTAGATCGTTTTGACAGAATAAAGGAGAAAGGAGATCCTGGGTTAAGGTTATAGAGCTAGCACCACAGGGGACAATTCATGTCTTAACCATAAACAAATTATTATAGCAAAGAAGTTGAAACTAAAGTACATAAAGTACTTACCACAGGGTGTCACAGCTGCGGCAAATTTTATTAGCATATTCCAATTTTATTAAAATACAATTCAATGTTTATAAACATGTTTATTAAGATAGGGAAGACTGAAAATATTTCCGCCATGCAAATTACTGTCAATTTAAAAATAAATTATGTATTTTTGTGAAGACACTGACCTTTTCTTTAACAAGCAGCTCAAACAAGCATGTTCACGTAGCAGATATTGAAAAACAAAACCACTGAATCCTTTAATATTACTTTTAATATGAAAAAAGAAAGTCAAAAGGAACTCTTGCATTTTTAAACATATTTGGAAATATATTCATTTGGGTGTAATTTTTTATTGCTGAAACAACTTTGTGCATCTACAAAAACTCTAGCTGCTCACTAAAGAAAGCTAGGGGGCAGTTACTTCGGTGGCTGAGGCGGGAGGATCACTTGAGCCTGGGAGATTGTGGCTGCAGAGATTTATGAGCGCACCACTGCACTCCAGCCTGGGTAACACAGCAAGAGGAGATGGGAGAGAAGGGAGATGGGAGGGGGAAGAGGAAAAAGGGGAGAGACAGAAAGAGAGACAAAGAGAAAGAGAAAGAAAGAAAAAAAGGGGAAAAAAAGAAAAGGAGGAGAGGAAATTGCCAATGTGTTTAAAAATCTAATGAAAGGCCGGGCGCGGTGGCTCAAGCCTGTAATCCCAGCACTTTGGGAGGCCGAGGCGGGTGGATCATGAGGTCAAGAGATCGAGACCATCCTGATCAACATGGTGAAACCCCCCGTCTCTACTAAAAACACAAAAAATTAGCTGGGCATGGTGGCACATGCCTGTAATCCCAGCTACTCAGGAAGCTGAGGCAGGAGAATTGCCTGAACCCAGGAGGCGGAGGTTGCGGTGAGCCGAGATCGCGCCATTGCACTCTAGCCTGGGTAACAAGAGCGAAACTCTGTCTCAAAAAAAAAAAAAAAAAAAAAACATATATATATATATATATATATAAAATGAAACATTTTAGTCATTTGAGTTGACTGTACTAAGTATAGAAATACATCCTATTTCAACCAGTTTGCAAGAACTTTTGGAAAGCAAGACATGGACATTTTAAGCATGCAGAGTCGTTGGAAAGGCTTTTAAAATAAGTATGATTTATTATCACAACCAGGAATCTTCCTCTTCCCTTTGGATCCACGTATCTTCATGGGGTGTTTTTCCACCTTTGATGTTGTTAAAACTAAGTACTGACACACTCAGACTCAAACCCCCAAATCGCTGAATCATAAAGTGGTAATTCAAGGTTTTTTAAAACAATTCCTAACAACTGGATAGATTTCCTAAAAATCATTATTCACTGAAACTGGAAATCATTAGTGAAAACTGAAAATCATTATTCACTGTAATTTGCGAATTTCATGATACGCAAATTATACTTCTAAGATGTTTTTAAAATAGGCATATTCCCCCTGGGCTTGGTGGCTCACACCTTCAATCCCAGCACTTTGGGAGGTCGAGGCGGGCAGATCACTTGAGGTAAGGAGTTCGAGACCAGCCTGGGTAACATAGGAGAAATCTCATCTCTACTAAAAACACAAAAATTAGCCAGGCATAGTAGCGCATCCCTGTAATCTCAGCTACTCAGGAGGCTGAGGCAGGAGAATCCCTTGAACCCAGGAGGAAGAGGTTGCAGTGAGCCGCGCCACTGAACTCCAACCTGGGCGACAGAGTGAGACTTTGACCCAAAAAAAACCAACCAACCTACCAACCAACCAACCAACCATATTCCATTGCATTGTCCTTTACAAATACTCATTTAATTGTATAATTGCTAATTAATTGCTTAGCTGTTATGACAACCAAGTATTTGATTCCTTACACTATCTCATCATTTAAGTTTTATTTCGCGTATTTTCACAATGCACGTTATCTATTATTGAGGAATTTAATTAAATAACCATTCGAACGGTGGGCTCGAATTGTTTACTGATGAAGCTCGGAGATCACACCACTGCTCTCCAAGCCTGGGCTACAGACCAAGAGGAGAGAGACGAAAAGAGACAGGGGAGGAGACTCTCCGGCCACTGGAAGGAAGGGGGGCAAAACAGCCCAGCGACCGCCGTCTGGAGCCCCTCGGCCCAGGGCCGTGGCGGTTCCCTTGGACCATCGCGCCCCTCAGCCAGGTGGCCCCGAAAACGAGCGCTCCACGGCCTCTGTCCGCTCTCGCTCTGCACACAGGAACTGTCGGGTCCTCAACCACTTCCTCCTCCCAGCCTCGTCAGGTTCCCAGGCCGCTGGGGATTCCCAACGCCACCTTCCAAGGCTCTAGGGTCAGCGAGCGCCCAAGGACAAGGACGAAGAGCGCCGGGCAGCGATCGGGACCACGCCCGCGACCCCCAGCTGCAGACACGGGGAAGAGACGCGGGAACTCCAAGGTGGACGGGTCTCCGCAGACACCTGCCGCCTTCCTGTGACGGTCACGGCCTCCCGTGAGGCGGGGTTTTCCTGGAAAGCGAGCGTGAACTGTGCCGGATGCGCCACTAGCCGGAAACAGTAGAGAAGGAGAGAAAGCAGAGGGACCTCCCATTTCCAAGGCGCGTGCGCGGAGACGCGACGCGAGCCAGGGGGGGCAGCGCGTGCGCAGAGGGGCAGTGAGCGCTAGGAGGGGTGGCGCCTGCGCGATGGGGCGGTGAGGGCTAGGCGGGGCGGCCGGGGCACAGAGCGGCGGTGACCGCTAGGAGGGGCAGCGCGTGCGCAGAGCGCCGAAGTGACTTCGAGATGTGAGCTACGAGGAGCGGCGCGTGAGCGGAGATGTGACGGGTGGGACCTACGGCGGCTAGCGGAGGATGGTCGCCCTCCTGGGGGCGACGACCCTGGTGCTCGTCGCCGTGGCGCCATGGGTGTTGCCCGCAGCCGCAGGTGAGAGGCGGGGAGGAGAGTCTCGGCGCAGGGCCGGAGACAGGGCGCGCAACTGGGCTACGGGGGCGGCGATGGTGTTGGGGGCAACAGACGCCCAGTCTGGGACCCCTTTGGTCCTCTTTGCCCCGGTGGTTTGGGGTCCCTAGCCGCAGCGCTCAGATTAAACCCAACCTGGGCTCGAAAATCAGACAGGAGAAAGTGATGTGAGTCCTCCCTCGCCGCTTGCCTGCGACCGGCGTACTGGTCCTTGGGCACGCCCGGGTCCCACCCCCAGGAAGTGGCGGTGCCAGAGCTTTGTGTCGGGTGTGCTGCTTTCCGGCAAGGTACTGCAGCTCAGGTGGCATATTTGATAATAAACAAAACATTTCCTGAAACGCATTTCCTCAAGTTAACTGGCGCCCTGTCCCAAGGCAGAGTGAGCTAAGTGTGGCCAGGATTTCTCTGCCCTCAGGATTCTTACAGGCCAATAAAAAATGACAACCGAAGGGAGTGAGTAACGAGGCATCATTCTCAGTCCTCGAGGTTCACTAGGCCTGCTTCAGGGCGCGTGCGGGAGAAACATGAGCCACAGACACGTGTGTGACTGGTCTTCCAGAGAGGTTTTCAGGAGTTGGTAAGGCAAATAGTTACGTAAGACTTTAGTTAGTGGTCAAGAAATCTGTATTATAAGTAAGATCCCATGAGTGTCTTAAAGAGAAAAAGGGAGTAAAGAAAGAGTCAGTTATGCAGATGCCTCTGGGTAGGTGGATTCTTGACTTTGTTTTGGACTGGAGAAGATAAGCTTGTAAATGACATTGTCATTGTGGAAGGCCTGAACTAGTTTTTCAGGTTAACTTTGGAATGCCGTGTTCGTTGAGAGGAGGGATCCGTTCAAATGGTTGGGGGCTTAGAATTTTATTTTTGGATTACGTAACTACCTACTTTTTCCCCAAAGAGATAAGCATGTTCAAAACTCAATGAAATGTTATCTTAGTAAGATTGTAATGTTGCTCAGTCTTTCAGATGTCATAAAAAATTCATACTTTTTAGTCGAGTAAATGCAGTTCTAGACCAAGACTGAGAAAACTATCCAAAATATGGGAAGACATTTATATATATATATATATATATATATATATATATATATATATATATTTTTTTTTTTGAGACAGAGTCTCACTCTACTGCCCAGGCTCGTGTGCAGAGGCATGATCTCAGCTCACTGCAACCTCCACCTCCTGGGTTCAAGTGATTCTCCTGCCTCAGCCTCTCAAGTAGCTGGGATTACAGGTGCATGCTACCACACCCAGCTGTTTTTTGTATTTTTAGTAGAGACGGGGTTTCACTATGTTGGCCAGGCTGTTCTTGAACTCCTGACCTTAAATGATCCACCCACCTTGGCCCCCCAAAGTGCTGGGATTACAGGCGTGAGCCACCGCACGTCATCTGTTTGTGCTGTATACTTTAGTTTTAAGAACTAGACTTAAGTTGTAGACCTAAAGTTACAGTTGGCATGCCCTTATTTATGGGAGACCAGCAAAGAATTTACTTATCAGTGATCTGTGAGGGCAGCCCTTTGCAGATGGCTGACTGAGGCTTTTTATCTTTCCTTGGGGATCTGGCTGTAGGATAATGCTAGTAACAGCCATTCATTTGGAAGGGGGTGTTGCAGTCACTTGGCCACTGGGCTTAACCTTCCCTTTTGTGTAAGAAATTTGGGAGAGATCCTGAGATTTTTTTTTTTCCTTTACAAAAATAATAAAAGAAAAATACAAAGGCAGGGCATCACCAGGCTAAACTGCTGAAATTTTTCCTACTTACCTGGAATGCATGGGAGAATAGCAACCATTATAAGGTTGATAGAGCGTGAGAGGTAATTTTATAGTGAGGACGAGTACCCAAAGAGAAACAGGGCTAGCATCCCAGTGCAGGAATCCACTGGTCTGTGAGCCTGCATGTGGGTTCAAAACACTTAACCTGTTGGCTTAGAAAACCATATACCTGTGTAGTACATGATATCCTATTTCTCAAACTTTTCCGCAAATATATAGTATAGTTTTCCTAGGATGTGGGTACTAGGTTCCTGGTGCAACCTGTAATAATTTCTTTGAAGTCTTTTGTTTATGAAAAATTTGCATTAAACTCATGTTTGCTTTAATGTAAAAAGTTTTCCCAGAAAATTTATATAAAATTGACGTTCCAAGAGGGTGTGCATTAAGAAATATAATTTAAGTCTTCCCGCCGACCAAGATGCCAAAAGTAGAGAAGGCCAAGGGGAAGAAGGTGGCTCCGGGCCCTGCTGTTGTGAAGAAGCAGGAGGCCGAGAAAGTGGCGAATCCCTTGTTTGAGCACAGGCCGAAGAATTTCGGTATTGGATGGGACATCCAACCGAAAAGAGACCTCACCCGCTTTGTTAAATGTCCCCGCTGTGTCAGGTTGCAGCGGCAGAGAGCCATCCTGTATAAGCGGCTGAAAGTGCCTCCTGCCATCAACCAGTTCACCCAGGCCCTGGACCACCAAACAGCTATTGAGCTGTTAAAGCTGGCCCAGAAATATAGGCCAGAGAGACGGCAAGAAAAGCAGCAGAGGCTTTTGGCCCGTGCCGAGAAGAAAGCTGCTGGCAAAGGGGACGTCCCCACCAAGAGACCACCTGTACTTCGAGCAGGAGTTAACACAGTCACTGCCTTGGTGGAAAACAAGAAAGCCCAGCTGGTGGTGATTGCACACGACACGGATCCCATTGAGCTGGTGGTCTTCTTGCCTGCCCTGTGTCAGAAAATGGGAGTCCCTTATTGTATCATCAAGAGGAAGGCAAGACTGGGATGTCTAGTCCACAGGAAGACCTGCACCACTGTTGCATTCACCCAAGTTAATGAGGAAGACAGAGGCGCTTTGGCTAAGCTGGTGGAAGCTGTCAGGACAAACTACAGTGACAGATATGAGGAGATACGCCGTCACTGGGGAGGCAAAGTCCTGGGTCCCAAGTCTGTGGCTCACATCGCCAGGCCTGGAAAAAGCAAAGGCCAAAGAACTTGAAAGTGATTCGGGGTGAAATGTACATAGTAGAGTTTGCTGTAAATAAAAATAATTTAAACAAACAAAAAAAATTAATTTAAAATGAGGTTGGAAGAGAGCTGGCAAAATATAATTTATAGGCATTTAGCATTTCTTAAGCTCTTAGCTATGTGCCAGGCACTAATCTAAGTGTTTTAAAGGTATAAACTTGTTAAGCTTTCAGAGACATGTAGATACGGTTATCCTTATTTAACAGACAAGGAAACTGAACAACTGAGAGATCAGGTAACTTGCCTGAGGCTATATAGGTCAGTCCAGCTGAGTCTGAAATCAAACCCCGAGTCTGGCCTGATAGCCCTGGGGCTCTTGATTTTGTTATGTGAATATTCTGTCCCTGTAAACAGCTGTCCATCTTTCAAATCACATCTGTTCAGTTCTACTATTAGAGTATATGAAGTACAGATGGTCCCTCTCTTATGATAGTTTGACTTGCAATTTTTTGAGTTTATAATGGATTTCTCAGGGTATTACGTACATTTTTGGTTGGTATTTTTAACTTACAGCTTTACCAGGACATAACACCATTGTAAGTCAAGAAGCATCTGTCTATCTCTGGACATACAATGTGAAATCAAATCGAGGCCATGAAACAGTTGAACCTCATCGTAAGAGTGACTCATCAAGTGTCACTTCTAAGACCTAGAAAATTTCTATTTTTATGCAGAGACCGTTTGTTTTTTAATTAAAAGGAAACTCCTTTTTTTCAAAGAGGGAAAAAAAATCAACCTTTTCTTCAGCTCTCTCAGATGGAGAAATATAATCAGCAGCATCCCTGTGCTGGGAGTAATCATTAGGTTTTTTTAGATTTTTTAAATATACTTCATTATATTTCACTGTATTCATTCTTTAATCAGGGATGTGAGAGATAGAATAACATTTAGAATATCTGTACAGTTTATATATAATGTTCTTATTTCTTGTTGCCTTTATAGGTGGGAAAAATCTAAAATCTTCTCAAAAAGTAGAAGTCGACATCATAGATGACAACTTTATCCTGAAGTGGGACAGGAGTGATGAGTCTCTTAGGAGTGTGACTTTTTCATTCGATTATCAAAAGTATGTGATTCTGCTTACTGATTTGTCAGAATGACCTGAATAATTTTTACAATTTTAACACCATAATTTTCAGATTTGGAAAGTATTTGGTTTTTCCATTTTTTAGAAATGTTATGCCTATTTTACATAATATTTTTAACTTTGTTTCTGTAGAGACTTAGTCAAATACACCTTTGTTGTAAGGCACTCATTCTTTCATTCAACAAATATTTACTGGGTGCGATATAGCTCACACCTGTAATCCAGCGCTTTGCGAGGCTAAGTCTGGAAGATCACTTGAGGTCAGGATTTTGAGACCAACCCCTACAACAAGATGAAACCCCGGCTCTACTAAAAATAAAAAAATTAGCCAGGTGTGGTGGTGCATGCCTGTAATCCCTGCTACTTGGGAGGCTAAGGCAGGAGAATCACTTGAGCCCAGGAGGCAGAGGTTGCAATGAGCTGAGATCGTGCCACTGCACTCTATTCTGGCAACAAAGCAAAACTGTGTCTCAAAAAAACAAAACAAAACAAATGTTGAATATATTTCGTGCCAAGCAATCTTCTGACTACTTAGGGATGCCTCAGTGAATGGGAGAAGCGAAGACAGCATGAAGTTATCTTATGAAATGGATTTCATGAAACAAATATTACATTGGTTACATTAAAACCAACTCATATTTCAGATTACATTCTGTTCTGAGCTAATTATTACATGTGATAATGATTGTGGTTTTTTGGTGGCGGTGTTTGTTTTTTGAGTGGGAGTCTTATTCTGTCGCCCAGACTGGAGTGCAGTGGTGCATCTTAGCTCACTGCAGCCTCCACCTCCCAGGTTCAACTGATTCTCCTGCCTCAGTCTCCAGAGTAGCTGGGATTAGAGACACCCACTACCATGCCCAGCTAATTTTTGTATTTTAGAGATGGGGTGTCACATATTGGCCAGGCTGGTCTTGAACTCCTGACCTCAGGTGATCCACCCACCTCAGCCTCCCAAAGTGCTGGGATTATAGGCATGAGCCATCAGTGCCCAGCCAGATTTGTGTGTGTGTGTGTGTGTGTGTGTGTGTGTGTGTGTGTGTGTTTTTAAGAAAATATAAAAGTAGCTACTGCTGCAATATCTTGATTAGGTGTGAAAACGGTTTTAATGGAGCATGCATCAGCATCTTCTGAAACAGGAAAGACAGATGTGAACAGTGAGGTTGGGTTGAAATTATATTGTTTTACATTTTTGATAAGGTTTTCTGTTTATATTGAGAGTTTCTGGATTTTTAGAAATAGATTCTGATATGGAACCTCTTCAAGAATGTTTAAGGTATTTTTAATGCCAGCTCTAATCTCAGGCCTCAGATACATAAATTGGAAGTGAAAGCTGGCCAAGAATGAAGTATTTCATATGCTAGTGTATATTTTTGGTGATTTCTTAAAAATGTTTCCTTTATTAAAAATAAGATAGACTTGTATATGGGTCAGGAACAAAATTGTTTTGGCATCGTCTCTGGTTTCTAATATCTAAATCATCTTTAAAAATGGCGTCTGTGATATTATTAAAAATAAATAAATCAGCTAATGAATTAGGCTTGACAAAAATGCCTTCCCAGAAGATAGTTTCTCGTTAACTTAAGGTCGATGAGCTTAAACATGGGTAAAAATTTTGACATCTGCTAAATTGGCCTGGCCTGGTGACTCACACCTATAATCCCAGCGCTTTGGAAGGCTGAGGTGGGCAGATCACCTGAGGTGAGGAGTTCAAGTTCAAGATCAGCCTGGTCAACTTGGCAATACCCCATGTTGTATTTTGTAAAAAAATACAAAAATTAGCCAGACATGGTGGCACACGCCTGTAATTCCGGCTACTTGGGAGGTGGAGGCAGGAGAATTGCTCGAATCTGGGAAGCGGAGGTTGGAGTGAGCTGAGATCACACCACTGCACTCCAGCCTAGACAACAGACTTAGGAAAAAAAAAAAAAAGAAAGAAAGAAAGAAAAGAAATCTGCTAAGTTTATTTCTGTCCCTCAGTTTCCCTGTCTGGGTAACATGTCCTTTTCTGTTTTATACTTCATGCCCACTTGATTTCTTCATGTTTGCCCCCTTTTCAAAAGGAACAATGTAATATCACTTCAGCTTTCTGATTGGTCACTTCTACTTCCAAAGACTTATTTGTTTATGTAAACATTTTAAGTTTTTTGGTTTCTGGCAATGTAATAGAAGAAATTATGGAGACAAGCAAGCAGAAGGGATGGTTTGCTTTTGGAGAGAGCAGAGGAAACCCTGAAACCATACTGATACCGAGGTCTTTCTTTTTTTCTTTTTTGAGACAGAGTCTCACTCTTATTGCCCAGGCTGGAGTACAATAGCGTGATCTCGGCTCACTGCAACCTCCTCCTCCAAGGTTCAAGCAATTTTCCCACCTCAGCCTCCCAAATAGCTGAGATTATAGGCGCCCGCCACTATGCCCAGCTGATTTTTGTATTTTAGTAGAGATGGGATTTCACCATGTTGGCCAGCCTGGTCTCAAACGCCTGACCTCATGTGATCCACCTGTCTCAGCCTCACAAAGTGCTGGGAAGGTCTTTCTTAGGGAGGTAAGTCTGTTCATAGGAGGAGGTCAGAAAGAAATCATCAAATCCAATTACCCAATTTTTATTTTATTTTATTTTATTTTTTTAGAGATAGGGTCTTGCTTGGTTGCTGAAACTGGAGTGCAGTGATATGATCATAGCATACTGCAGCCTGCAGCCTTGAACACTTGTACTCAAATGACCCTCTCACCTCAGCCTAACCGGTAGCTAGGGCTACAGACACATGTAGCACGCCCTGCCTTGCTTTTTTTTTTTGTTTTCTTCCCTTCGTACAGACAGGGCTTGCTATGTTGCCCAGGCTCCAAACTTTAAATAAGGAAGATGAGATCCAGAAACACAAAATAGTTTACCAAAAGTCACACAACTATTTTTAACAGAGCCAGCATACTAACTCCACTTTTACCTTACGGGTCATTTATTTCTCTGCTTCCTTGAAATCCTAAAGCAGCCACCCACAAGATTATATAAAGAACTGTATTTTAAAATTCAGTTTTATAAATCATAACTTGGCTTATATGCATTGAAAAAGAGTGGAAGGGTATACACTAAAATGTTAATAGGACATTAGCTCAAGTAGAAGAAATAACTCTTAAACCATAATAGCTTTATAGTATTAGTAAATAGAAAGTATTTGACACATATTTATACATTTGCTCACTTACTCATTTGTGTTTTTACTTTAAAGATCTGGGACAGATAATTGGATAAAATTGCCTGGGTGTCAGAATATTACTAGTACCAAATGCAACTTTTCTTCAGTCAAGTTGAATGTTTATGAAGAAATGAAATTGCGTATAAGAGCAGAAAAAGAAAACACTTCTTCATGGTATGAGGTTGACCCATTTACACCATATAACAAAGGTAAGAAAAAGTTGCTAGCTGAATTATGTTCTTAAGTAATTATTACTAGAGCAGTTCACTTTCCAAGCCATTCATTTGCATGATGTAAAATCGAACGTCTTTTAAAAGGAACAAAAATGTCCTTAAATCCTTCTCATCTTCCCGCTATGGCTCTGTTTTTTTCTACTTTCCCTATAGTAGTGGTTCTCAAAGAGTGTTCCCCAAGGCCCTGTCAGTGGGCCACAAAGACAAAGCTATATTTATAACAAATCAAAGACTTGCTTGCCTTTTTTATTTTTGTTCTTCCTTGTGTTCACAGTGGAGTTTTCCAAAGAAGCCTGTTTGATGTGTGATGTGGTGATATGGTCGCTAACGTAGAATTCGATGTAAAATTCATCTGCATTCTTTATTAATCCAAACATTCTGAAGATTTGGAAGACAATGTCAAACAGCACTACTCTTAAGTTTTTATGTTTCTCGTAGCCAGTGTTTGTTACCATATAATAGGTTTTGTCATTGTTATTTCTTAATGGATTAATTAGTTAAAATGGATTGAAAACGGTATCAGTTTAAATGTTTAACATGCTAATATAAAAAGATATAGCCCACATAAATAAAGGCTGTTTGGGAGTCTCAGTCATTTCTTTAAGAATGTAAAGGAGCTGAGTGTGGTGGCTCACAGCTATAATATCAACACTTTGGGAGGCCGAGGTGGGAGGATCACTTGATGCCAGTTGTTCAAGACCAATCTAGGCAACATAGTGAGACCCCCCATCTCTACAAAAAATAGGTAAAAATTAGCCAGGCATGGTGGTGCACCCCTGCAGTCCCAGCTATTCAGGAAGCTGAAAAGGGAGGATGACTTGAGCCAGGGAGATCAAGGTTGCAGTGAGCCATGTTTGTGTCACTGCACTCCAGCCTGAGCAACAGAGCTGAATCATATCTCAAAAAAAAAAAAAAAAAAGAGGGGGGAGGTTTCTGAGACCAAAAAGTTCGAGAACCACTGCTCTTTACCAAGAATGATGTGTACTCCCTTTCTATACTACTTTTCTTCCCATTCCTTCTCAGCCCTCTCCGTTCAAACTCTGTTCCTCATCACTATTAAAACTACTCTTCTCAAGGTCACAGCAGCCTCCGCAATGCCAAGCAAATTCCCAGTCCTTTTCTGGCTTCATCCCTCTGTAGTAGAGATGTGGTCATCACTAGTTTTTCCTTTACTGGATCTCTGGAGCGTTGCTCTTTCCTGGTTCTCCTGCTCATTGATAGCTTCATCTTCCCGACCTTTCAGTGTTGGACTGCTGGGCTCAGTCGTTGAACCTCTTTACTTTCTGTGTCACTCCCCTGGTGCTGTATGCTCTTGACTCCTAGAAGTGTCAGGCACATATTAAGTGCTCAGAATTACTTGTTGAATGAAGGTTTTGGCATTGTATTAATGAAGATCTGTTGGGAAAAGCAGCAAAGGAGGAAGGTCTTACAGATGCCTACATAAATTGGTTCTGAGTAACAGTAAACAAGGAAGAACACACTGCGGAAGGCCACAGGAGGCCTCTGAGGAGGAAGGCCTCTCCGTGCCTCATGTTCCGGTGCAGGGTGACCTCGGCTCTGTTACCATAAACACTGTGCTCAAGGATGTAAAACCCCTTCGAAGCACTATGACGTAGCCAGACTTGTAGGCTCCTTGTAAGGTCCGTGTTCCACCGACTGTACATAGGTAATAAGCTAAAGATAACCATATGTTCTTGTTTTGTGAAACTTCCAACCCGCCATGTTATCCTTCGGATGACACACCAGTTCCGGTTCACTGATTGACTCCACCATCACTCCACACCATCCTATAGATCAAAGTGGTTGTAATCAGTAAATAGTGTGGATGATCAGAGCTCGGGGCCTTCACTGTCTACTCCAGTAGTAAGTGATGGCCCCTGGTCCCACTTTCTCTCTTAATCTGTCTTTTTCTCATTCCTTTGTCGCCACTGAACTCTGGGTACCCATGGGTGATGTAGGGCTAGTTACTGACAAAGATCCATAGTAATTATTTTGATTTTTTTTTTGCAGCTCAAATTGGTCCTCCAGAAGTACATTTGGAAGCTGAAGATAAGGCAATAATGATAAAGATCTCTCCTCCTGGAACAAAAAATAGTGTCATGTGGGCTTTGGATGGTTCAAGCTTTAGATACAGCTTAGTTATCTGGAAAAACTCTTCAAGTGGAGAAGTAAGCATTATTTTTACCTTTGTTTAATCAATGTGAGAGAAAAATGAGGTGAATTAATCTTAAAATTTGACCTTATACTTTTTTAAAACACCAACTTCTATTTTTATTATAGGAAGAGATTGAAAATATTTATTCCATACGTAAAATTTATAAACTTTCACCAGAGACTACCTATTGTTTAAAAGTTAAAGCAGCACTACCTGTGGCAAGGAAAGTCGGTATCTATGGTCCAGTATATTGTATAAAGACCACAGGTAAGGAAGATGTTTTGCTTTAGATTCAATAAATATGTATACAGATTCTCTACAATAATTTTGGCATTTTTCCCATATTTGCTGAAGTTTATATGATAGGTTAATATAGATTAAAACAAAAACAGAACATTTACAAAAGCAAAATAATGTTATTTGGGATTTTTGTCTCAAATAGTAATGAAAATTAATTCTACTTAAAAGTTCAGGCTGGGCGTGGTTGCTCACACCTGTAATCCCAGCACTTTGGGGGGCTGAGGTGGACAGAGCACTTAAAGCCGGAAGTTCAGGAACAGCCTGGGCAGCATGGCAAAACCCCATGTCTATTAAAAATACAAAAAAAATAAAAATAAAAATAAAAATAAAAACCTAACCTGGTATGGTGGCATGTACCTGTAGTCCTAGCTACTCGGGAGGCTGAGGCATGAGAATCCCTTGAACCCGGGAGGTGTTGGTTTTGGAGAGCCAAGATCATTCCGCTGCACTCCTGTGGGGAGCAAGTGAGACAAAGAGCAAGGCTCCATTTTAGAAAAGGGAAAAAAAAGGCCGGGCGCGGTGGCTCACACCTGTAATCCCAGCACTTTGGGAGGCCGAGGGGGTGGATCATGAGGTCAGGAGTTCAAGACTAGCCTGACCAACATGGTGAAACTCCGTCTCTACTAAAAATACAAAAATTAGCTGGGCATGGTGGTGCATCCCTGTAGTCCGAGTTACCCAGGAGGCTGAGGCAGGAGAATGGCTTGAACCCCAGAGGCAGAGGTTGCAGTGAGCCAAGATCGCGCCACTGCACTCCTGCACTGGCAACAGAGCAAGACTCCGTCTCAAAAAAAAAAAAAGAAAAAAAAAGTTCAAATATCTTGTAATGACAAAACTATATTCGTTCGTTCAGAATCCACATAAAGGGGGGCGGGTAGCTGAACTGTGGGTTCTGCAAGCAGGAAGAGGTATACTTTCAGGAAGAATAACTTGTCTACTAGTTATTAGACAAGTTATTCTTCCTGAAAGTATACCTTTATAAGTGGAATGTTAAAACATGAAAGCATCCTGATGTATTTAGTCAGTAACACCTTTCTAGTAATTAAGGCCAAGGAGCTGGGATTTATTATTTTCATTGTAAACTTTATACGCTTTATTTTTTTCATCAAACATTACAGAAGAGTTTGAAGTGAAGTCTTCTCCTTCTCCCTTCTTACCCCCAATTCCATTCACCAGAGATGAGCCTTGCTTAGCAGTTTGTGTATAACCTTTCACAGCTTTTTTTCAGGGCTTATGTAACCGTATACATAGACCCACAGTTTCTTGGGTTTTGTTTTTTAAATTACAAAATAAAATCTTACTAGATGTACTTTACAGCTTGCTTACTTAACCCATTCTGTATCAGTCCATACAGATCTATTACATTCTTCATTTACTCTTAGCATTTTTTTTTTTTTTTTTTTTTTTTTTGAGACATAGTCTCACTTTGTTGCCCAAGCTGCAGTGCAGTGGCATGATCTCGGCTCATTGCAATCTCCACCTCCCAGGTTCAAGCAATTCTCCTGCCTCAGCCTCCCAAGAAGCTGGGATTACAGGGATGTGCCACCATGCCCTACTAATTTTTGTATTTTTAATAGAAATGAGGTTTTGCCATGTTGGCCAGGCTGATCTCAAACTCCTGACCTCAGGTGTTCCACCCACCTCGGCCTCCCAAAGAGCTGGGATTACACACTTGAGCCACTGCACCCGGCCTGTATTCTTTCAAATGGCTGGGTAGTATGACATAGTGTGAATAAAAACCATGTTTAACTATTACCTTATAATGATAAAATGTGAGCCTTTATCTTCTTGCCAGTTATCTCGCTTGAGTAAAGATACATGCTTTTTTTTCTTTATATTTTCTTTGGCTTCTAGTTGAAAACGAACTACCTCCACCAGAAAATATAGAAGTCAGTGTTCAGAATCAGAGCTATGTTCTGAAGTGGGATTACGCATATGCAAACGTGACCTTTCAAGTTCAGTGGCTCCAGTAAGTTCTATTCCATACATTTCCTTTTGCCCAGTGTGTTTTGATTATGCTTCTTTTCACTCTGCTTCAGTCACCAGGTCCTTGCACACAGAATGACTGACTGGGAGGTGAGTATGATATATTGGAAACTTGAGAAATCTCATTTCTAACCCTCGTTCTGCCAGTAACTAACCTCCACTGGTCTTAATTTCTTCACTTGTAAAATAGATGTATGTATTCTAATATCTAGGGTTTTTAACTGGCTTAAAAAAAAGTTGTGACTAGTTACATGTGTTATTTCCCCAACCTGGAATACTTGACACTGACCCTGATCTTTTTCTTTTTCTTTTTTTTTTTTTTCTTTTTTTTGAGATGGAGTCTTGCTCTGTTGCCCAGGCTGGAATACAGTGGCACAGTCTTGGCTTACTGCAACCTCTGCCTCCCAAGTTCAAGCAGTTCTCTGCCTCAGCCTCCCAAGTAGCTAAGATTACAGGTGCCCGCCACCACACCCACCTAACGTTTTTGTATTTTTAGTAGAGACAAGGTTTTACCATATTGGCCAGGCTGGTCTTGATCTCCTGACCTCGTGATCCACCCGCCTCAGCTTCCCAAAGTGCTGGGATTACAGGCATGAGTCATGGCACCCGGCCTGATCTTTTTCTTAAGAACTCACTTCTTCCGTGAGTCCTTAAAATGATCTCAGTCAACTTGCTTGTTCAATTCAAAACCTTAGCCTTCCTATTGTCTTTATTACTTTAGTGGTTTTGACAAAATTTTGTAGTGGTTACTTCAGTGGGAAATTAATGAAAGTTGGATTTCTGTATGGTTGAGTAGAGACTAGCTAAATACAGATGAAATCTAGGCACCGCATAAATAAAAGAGAACTGGCCAGGTGCAGTGGTGCATGCCTGTAGTCCCAGCGACTCAGTGGGCTGAGGCAGGAGGATTACCTGAGGCCAGGAATTAAGGCTACAGTGTGCTGTGATCACACCCACAGATAGTCGCCACACTGCAGCTGGGGCAACTGAGTGAGATCCCCATCTCTAAAAATTAAAAACTCATAAAAGAAAACTGCATGTAGTTTATATTGATTGGAAAATTGTAGGGGATGAATAGAGAGAAGAGGAAAATTAAGTAGAAGGAAAAGTGGGTTATGGGGAGAAAAGAGATGGAAAGAAAGATATACACTGGTGACAGAGGAGTAGAGAGAGCAAAGGAAAGTATAGCTAAGACAGGAAAGGAAAAGTTAGAAAAGACTGGAAAGAGACAGAAAAAGTGAGGGAGAAGGGAAGTGTGAGTACTGCTGTGATCAGTTTCTCTCCATCTTTTAGTGTTAATTTTGAACCAAGGGTGACGGGTAGGATGGAAATGTATTCATGTGCATATGTGCCCCACAATACATATATACCTCACAAACCAACCAGGAAACTGTTCAGTAATCTTTTGTGTATACCTCACTTTCAGAAGTGAATAAATTATAGGGTCACCAAATAGATAATGATAGGGATTTCTGATGGCTGATCTCTAAGCTTCTTTGGGGTACTTAGCACATTGTACTGAAGAAATGGAAAGAGTCAGCAGAATGAAACATGGTTCTAGAAATTTAAAGCAGTTAGCCGACACTGCAAAGCGTTGTGTGGTTTAGGACTGAAGAGTGTATACAAATGATAAGGGTTCAGAAATGGAAAATGTAAAGGTGAATAGGGGCTGAAGAGACCAAAGAAGCCACAAGGAAAGAGATGAGGTATGAACAAGGCCTTGATTGTTAATTCATATTTTTTTTTTAAGTAGAGGAGTATTAGATACTAGTTTTCCATTTCTGTAACAAGTTACCACAGACTTAGCAACTTAAACAGCTGTTTATTGTCTCACAGTTTCTGTGAGTCAGGAGTCCAAACATTGCTTAGCTGCGTTTTCTGCTAAGCCAGGCGTCCCCAAACTTTTTACACAGGGGGCCAGTTCACTGTCCCTCAGACCATTGGAGGGCCGCCACATACTGTGCTCCTCTCACTGACCACCAGTGAAAGAGGTGCCCCTTGCAGTGGGGGGCCGGATGAATGGCCTCAGGGGGCCGAAGTTTTGGGATGCCCGTCTAAGCAGTCAAGGTGTCAGTCTCATACATGACTCAGGGTCCGCTCCCAAGCTCACATGTTGTTGGCAGAATTTATTTCTTGCAGCTCTAGAACTCATGGGGGCTCGCTTCTCAGAGGCCATCAGGAAGGGAGAGTCTGACCTTTAGATCCTTTTTTTTTTTTTGAGTTTCACTCTGTCACCCAGGCTGGAGTGCAATGGCATGATCTTGGCTCACTGCAACCTCCAGCTCCTGGGTTCAAGGGATTCTCCTGCCTCAGCCTCCTGAGTAGCTGGGACTACAGGCATACACCACACCTGGCTAATTTTTGTGTGTGTTGTTTGTTTGTTTTTGAGACAGAGTCTCTCTGTCACCTAGGCTGGAGTGCAGTGGCACAATCTTGGCTCACTGCGACTTCCGCCTCCTGAGTTCAAGCAATTCTCCTGCGTCAACCTCCTGAGTAGCTCGAACTATAGGCATGTGCCACCATACCCAGCTAATTTTTGTGGTTTTAGTAGAGACAGGGTGTCACCATGTTGGTCAGACTGGTCACAAACTCTTGGCCTCAAGTGATCCATCAGCCTCAGCCTCCCAACGTGCTGGGATTACAGGCGTGAGCCATCTCGCCTGGCGTAGCTCCTCTTTGAAGGGGCTCATCTGATTAGGTCAGGGCCACCCAGCATAGTCTCTCATTTGATTAACTAGGAATCAGCTGATTTGGGACCTTGATTACATCTGTGAAATACCGTCTCCTCTGCCACTTAATGTAACCTAATTATAAGAGGAGTGCCCCCATTGTATTTACAGATCTTGCCCATACTCAAGGGGAGGGGATTATACAGGATGAGTGCTTCAGGGGGCAGGAATCTTGGGGGTCATATCAGAATTTTGCTTTCTCCAGTGGGGAGGATGTCTTTCTATGGGGGGAGTGCAGTGATCCGACATCACACCACTGCACTCCAGCCTGGAGCAGAGTAGCAGAACATTCGGACACCAGATTGCAATAGGAAGAAAGCTGAATAAGTAGAATGGGACAAGATTAGGGTCAGCCTTAGTCTGTCCTATAGGCTTTTGGGATTTTATGTTGTGGTGACAGTTACCCTGAGCTCTGGATTTGAGGAAGGTACACATGGCGACGTGGTATGTGGGGCAGTGGACTAAGGAGACACTAGGGAGAGACAAGGAAAGCAGTTAAGAGGCTGTTAGAGTTCTGGGCTGGAGCTGAGATGCTTTTAGCTGTTGCTTTCTGAGCAAGTGGCTTAACCTCTTCAGTCTCGTGTTTTTATACTTGCTCTCAGAACGCTGTGGTGTGTCTCTGTTATAGCACTTTTCAATTGGTATGCCGGCGCATGTTTAGCAGCTGGCTTTCCAAAAAGAAAAAGTCCTATTTTGTAGTGTTTGCTTATTTTTATGATATAAATATTTCCACTATGGCCACTTTCTAGCTACCAGACTGATGTCCCTGAACATGGAGTTGGAAGATAGGCACAGTAGCACCCCATTATCATCCAGCTACAATAGAGAAAGATAGCCCCAAGAGCATAGACAATAAAATGAAGTAAAAGAATTAGGACAAGATGGAATTCTGAGTATTTATTATCTCTGTCTTTAAAACAATTTTTTATTTGCAAATTTTTATAACTTAAATTTTTAATAATGGTTTTCGGCTGGGCGCAGTGGCTCAAGCCTGTAATCCCAGCACTTTGGGAGGCCAAGGCACGTGGATCACGAGGTCAAGAGGTTGAGACCATCCTGGTCAACATGGTGAAACCCCATCTCTACTAAAAATACAAAAAATTAGCTGGGCATGGTGGCGCCTGCCTGTAATCCCAGCTACTCAGGAGGCTGAGGCAGGAGAATTGCCTGAACCCAGGAGGCAGAAGTTGTGGTGAGCCGATATCGCGCCATTGCACTCCAGCCCGGGTAACAAGAGCGAAACTCCGTCTCAAAAAAATAAAAAAAAGAAAATGGTTTTCCTTTAAAAACCAGCTTGCGCCGGGCACGGTGGCTCAAGCCTGTAATCTCAGCACTTTGGGAGGCCGAGGCGGGTGGATCACGAGGTCAAGAGATCGAGACCTTCCTGGTCAACATGGTGAAACCCCGTCTCTACTAAAAATACAAAACATTAGCTGGGCATGGTGGCGTGTGCCTGTAATCCCAGCTACTGAGGAGGCTGAGGCAGGAGAATTGCCTGAACCCAGGAGGAGAAGGTTGTGGTGAGCTGAGATCGCGCCATTGCACTCCAGTCTGGGCAACAAGAGCGAAACTCCATCTCAAAAAAAATTTAAAAAATTAAAATTAAAAAAAAAACAGCTTGCACTTTGGGAGGCTGAGGTGGGTGGATCACCTGAGGTCAGGAGTTCGAGACCAGCCTGGCCCACATGGTGAAACCCTGTCTCTACTAAAAATACAAAAATTAGCCGGGCATGATGGTGTGTGCCTGTAATCCCAGCTACTTGGGGACAGAGGCAGGAAAAATTGCTTGAACCCAGGAGGCAGAGGTTGCATTGAGCTGAGATCCCACCACTGCACTCCTGCCTAGGTGACAGAGTGAGACTCCGTCTCAAAAGAAAAAAAAACACACACACAAACCAACTTGCAGTGTTTCCTGGAAATTCTAACAGATGTTCTTCCACGTTGCTATGAACCACCTCCAGCAGAGAGCGCTTTCTCACAGTCTGGAGCAGTCTTCTGGTTTTCTTTGATGATAGATGCTTATCTCTTCCACTGTTTGTGAGTTTCCTGAGGGTGGATACTGTTTATTTCTGTAACCTTAGCCCCTAACATAGTGTCTGGCAGATTGTAAATACTTAATAAATATTTATTAAATTACTATGTAGTTGAATTTAAAATTTTTTTGTCTTAAAAGCGCCTTTTTAAAAAGGAATTCTATGAACCATTCGTATAAATGGAAACAAATGCCTGACTGTGAAAATGTCAAAACTACCCAGTGTGTCTTTCCTCAAAATGTTTTCCCAAAAGGAATTTACTTTCTCCGTGTACAAGCATCTGATGGAAATAACACATCTTTTTGGTCTGAAGAGATAAAGTTTGATACTGAAATACAAGGTAAGGCAGCAGGTTTTACTTGAGATTCTAATACTCTGATTTGGTGCAAGTTCTTAAAATTGTTTTTCTAATTGAATATTATGTCCTTATACATTTTTCTAGCTTTCCTACCTCCTCCAGTCCTTAAAGTTAAACCCATTGGTGATTCATTACATATCCATATTGATGCTCCAAAAGAGTCGGGAAGCAAGCCTGTGAACGAGGATTATCCATTCACTTATGAAATTATTTTTTGGGAAAACACTTCAAATGCTGAGGTAAAAAGACTGTATGGTATTATTTTGTAACTTAGAGTTATAACTATAATTTAGGTACATAAAGCTTGAATTTAAAATTGGGGGGAAATTTTTTACTTTATGTGGGCTGGGTGCAGTGGTCTGTAATCCCAGCACTTCAGGAGGCCGAGGTGAGAGAATCGCTTGAGCCAAGAGGTTTGGGACCAGCATGGGCAACATAGAGAGACCTGTGTCAACAGAAATTTTTAAAAATTAGCCTGGTGCGGTGGCATGCACCTGTACTCCCAGCTACTTGGGAGGCTGGGGTGGAAGGATTGCTTGAGCCTGGGAGGTGAAGGCTGCAATGAGCTATCATGCCACTGCACTCTGGCCTGGGTGACAGAGTGACTAACAGCCTGTCTCAAAATTGAAAAAAATTTTTTAAATGTGATTAACTAAGATATTTACAGTATGAAGAACATGAGCATTTTTCATATTTTGCATGGTAGAGTTATGGGTGAGCTGCATCTGGGCCCCAGTTTGCTTTCAAAATACAGATTCCTGAGCCTGTTGTTGTTACTAAGTCAGACTCTCTGGGGATGGAACTCAGGAATTTGCATTTTTAACATGATTCCTATGTATTCATCTAAACCCAGGTTTCTCAGCACTGTTGACTTTTGGGCCGGATAATTCCTTGGGAGGGGGCTGTCCTGTGTGGTGCAAGATGTTTAGCAACATTCTGGTTTCTACCCACAAGATGCCAGTAGTGTTCCTTCCTAGTTGTGAAACCAAAAACATCTCCAGATATTGTCAAATGTCCTCTGGTGGCACCTCCAAGGGGACAAAAATTGGTTCTTATGGGACAAAAGAATCTTAGTAGAATTGTTTGTGTTGCTCCGAAAGCATTGGAAAGCATTCTGCCAAAGTTAGCTTTGCCCAACAAAATCTTATTCCTTAGTATTTAATTTTATGATGGGGAGGGATTAGAAAAACATTGCCTGAAAGTTGTTTAGTGGGGGAGGTAATGAAAAAAGAGTTGACAAACACTGGTCTAAACCCTAAAATTCAGATACCGCTGACAGAGATAACACACTGTTTCCCAGATCGCTTTTCCCTTGTGGAATTATAGTCAAGGATCGACCTTTAGAAATCCTGTGCAGTCAGGCGGGTAAATTCTTTGACTTCATTTTCTATTGGAAATCTAAGCAAATTCCATTGATTGGGCTGCTTCCCTTTTTAACCGTCTGACGACACTGTAACCATAGCATAATGTAGCCCACTGAGAATTGTGGTCAGTTTTCAGATGCCTGTAAATCAGACAAACCTAAGTTTGTATCTCACAGCACACAAGGTGCTTTACCTCTTGGAGACTTTGCTTCCTCTTTGAAGTGGTGGTAATCATAGCAACTAAATTTTTCAAAAGGATGTTTATAAGGTTTAAAAGGAAGTAACAAATATTAAAATTCCAAGCACACTGCTGAACAAGTAGTAGAGATTCAATAAATTGTAGTTGCCGTCTTGTCCTGTACTGGATAATACATCAATAATTATAGAAACTCTTATTGAGGCTAGACGTGGCAGCACACGCCTGTAATCCCAGCACTTTGGGAGGGAAAGGAGGGTGGATCACCTGAGGTCAGGAGTTCGAGACCAGACTGGCCAACATGGTGAAACCCCATCTCTACCAAAAATACAAAAATTAGCTGGGTATGGTTGCACACGCCTGTAATCCCTTAGGAAGCTGAGGAAGGAGAATCGCTTGAACCCAGGAGGTGGAGGTTGCAGTGAGCTGAGATCGCACCACTGCACTCCAGCCTGTGCAATGGGAGTGAGACTCCATCCCAAAAACAAAAACAACTTAGTGAATACTTATGTGTAAGGTACTATGCTAAGTATTGTGCATGAATTGTCTCAATCATTCTTCAAAACAACCCTGCCAGATGATATAATCAGTTAAATTGCTGTTTGGCAAATACTTGGGATGGTGCCTTCATCCATGCATCACTGGACTGTGGTTGCTGGAGCCCGAGTAGATGTACTGAGAGCAGAGGCCTTAAGTGTGCTTCTAGGGTTTGGTCTGGTGGAGCCGACCTACACCCCATGCACGGCCTCCATGGGAACTCCCCGGCCAATCTGTAGACTTGTGAGTGAGAAAACTACATAATTATGCTGTGAGCCACTGAATGTTGAGGTGGTTTTGTTATACATTTATATATATGTGCAGGTTCTCATTCTGTTGCCCAGGCTGGAGTGCAGTGATGTGATGTCAGCTCACTGCAGCCTTGACTTCCTGGTCTTAAGTGATCCTCTCATCTCAGCTTCCCAAGTAGCTGAGACTACAGGCACATGCCACCATGCCCAGCTAATTTTTTGTATTTTTTGTAAAGATGGGGTTTTACCACCATGTTGCCCTGGTTTTTTTTTTTTTTTTTTTTTTTTTTTTTTTTTTTTTTTTGGCTCCCTCAGCCTCTTAAGTAGCAGAGACTACAGGCACATGCCACCATACCTGGCTAATTTTTTTTGAAATGTCTTGTAGAGACAGAGTCTTGCTATGTTGCCCAGGCTGGTCTTGAACTCCTGGGTTCCAACAATCCTCCTGCTTGACCTCTCAAAGTGCTGGGATTACTGGTATGAATCTCAGGCAAGTCTACGCAGGCAAGACCACACAGCTGTAAGCAATACCTCTTAATGAGGAAGTTTGAGGCCAGAACCCCTACTCTTAACCATTCTGTCACTACTCGGAGGTAATACAATGGCAATTACACCAGACCTAGCATGTACTTATAAATAAATCGGAGTTCTCTTAGGAGTATGTCATATGCTTTTTTGGCAGCAGCATTTTTAACTTTCTGATTTGGTTACAATGGGTTGTCTGAAACCAATTTACTTTACTTATTTTTTTTTTTTTTTTAATGGAGTCTCTCTCTGTTACCCAGGCTGAAGTACAGTGGTGTACTCTTGGCTCAGTGCAACCTCTGCCTACTGGGTAGAAGGCATTCTCCTGCTTCAGCCTCCTGAATAGTTGAGATTACAGGCACGCACCACCACGCCTGGCTAATTTTTGTATTTTTAATAGAGATGGGGTTTCACCATGTTGGTCAGGCTGGTCTCGAACTCCTGACCTCATGATCTGCACACCTCAGCCTCCCAAAGTGCTGCTGGGATTATAGGCATGAGCCACCATGCCCTGTCAACAAATTTATATTTCTTAAACGTATACCCTATAATCCTAGCACTTTGGGAGGCTGAAGTGGGTGGATCACTTGAGGCCAGGAGTTCAAGACTACCCTGGCCAACATGGTGAAACCCCATCCTTACCAAAAAAAAAAAAAAAAAAAAAAAAAAAAAAAATTCTCTAGGCATGGTGGCATCTGCAATCCCAGCTACTCAAGAGGCTGAGGCAGGAGAATCACTTGAACCTAGGAGGAGGAGGTTGCAGTGAGCCCAGATTGCACTACTGCACTCTAGCCTGGGTGACAGAGTGAGACTTTGTCTCAAAAAAAAAAAAAGACAAAAACAAAAAACACATTCCAACTACGTAGGAGAGGTCAATCTTAGATTGAACATAAAAGAATTGAGAAACTCTGTATTTCCTGATTTCATGAGGTGACTAAATTTTATCAATGATTTAATTATGTTTTCTAGAGAAAATTTTTCAAGAAAGAAACGGATTTTATTGTTCCTAATTTGAAACCACTGACTGTATATTGTGTCAAAGCCAGAGCACACACCATGGATGAAAAGTGGAATAAAAGCAGTGCTTTTAGTGATGTTGTGTTTGTGGAAACAAAACCAGGTCAGAAGCTTTTACTGTCTTTTTAAAAAATGTAACTAGACATAATAAAAGTAATTCAATACTATTGTAAAACATTTTCTGTTTACTGCAAAAAATACATAGAATGTTTTCTTCATGAGCTATATGAATCAAAAGTAGACTTTTCAGAAAATACTTGTAATGCTTAATTCTCAATTCAGCGTTTTTGAATCTAGTATCCATGTAATTAATTTTCTTAATTTGTTGCTCTTTAACATTTAATAAGACTATTAGTTTTAAATTTTTAAAATATAATCCTTAACGTATTTATCATGTGGAAATCACTTAGTTCAATTGTGAATTTTTTTATGTGGGAACTGGTTTAGTCTCATTTTCTGTTTTACAGTTTCTAGTGTTGACTGGTAGAGGCTTAGTCACAGAGTATCTATTCAATTTTGCTAGCTGTATGACTTAAGAGTGCTGAAGGATGCTTACGTGTTCGGCTTGTGTGTCAATATTGTCTTCTTCCCTGAGGTTCTCTGACTTCAGTTCCACACCAGTCTTTAAATGTAAACGTCATTGTCTATAGTTGCTGTGGACTCAGTGCTGCCAGAAGTATTTTTAAGGGTATTATGTAGGCCAGGCACAGTGGCTCATGCCTGTAATCCCAGCTCTTAGGGAGGCCAAGGCAGGTGGATCACCTGAGGCCAGGAGTTTGAGACCAGCCTGGCCAACATGGAGAGAAACCCCATCTCTACTAAAAATACAAAATTAACTGGGCATGGTGGCACATACCTGTAATCCCAGCTACTCTGGAGGCTGAGGCAGGAGAATCGCTTGACCTGGGAGGTGAAGGTTGTGATGAGCTGAGATTGCACCATTGCATTCCAGCCTGGATAATAAGAGTGAAACTCCATCTAAAAAAAAAAAAAAGTATTATTTAATAGATTTTATATTTCCTTTCATATGGCTAGTCTTTCACATAAGCTATCAGCACTGTTAAGACATTTATATGTCAAAACATTCATGCTAAACATCACTTATGTATTTTTAGGAAATGCATCTAATATTTGGCTTATAGCTGGAATTTGTACTGCAATAATTGCTATCGTAGCTGTCATTTATGTTGTAAAAGTTCTCCTGAGATGCATCAATTATGTGTTCTTTCCATCACCTAAACCTTCTTCCAATATAGATGAGGTATGTTGCTTTTTGTATTTTTTTGTCAACAGCTAGGAAATGAACAGGAAATGTGTTTGATTTCAATAGGTTATATCCAGAAAATAATAGAAACTGATTTGGGTATTTTCTTCAAAGTTTTAGTCAATTAACTTTAGAAACAGTAATTTAATATAATAATATAGCATGGGATAGAAATGATTGTCCTTAATTCCCTATTTTTCTGGCAACTCTGGCAATTCCTAGATTCACTGTGGCATTTGTTTAACCATTTAAAGTCTGTGATTCTTGGCTGGGCACAGTGGCTCACACCTGTAATCCCAGCACTTTGGGAGGCTGGCTCACTTGATGTCAGGCTCACTTGAGGATCCGTTTTGTGGATCACTTGAGGTCAGGAGTTCGAGACCAGCCTGGCCAACATGGTAAAACTCCGTCTCTACTAAAAATATAAAAATTAGTTGGGCGTGGTGGCACCCACATGTAATCCCAGTTACTCAAGAGGCTGAGGCAGGAGGATCACTAGAACCTGGGAGGTGGAGGTTGCAGTTAGCTGAGATCACACCACTGCACTCCAGCCTGGGTGACAGAGTGAGACTCTGTCTCTAAATAAGGAAATACAGTCTGTGATATGATTCTCCACAGCACAGACAGTCCCCGACGCACACTGTTTAGATTTGTGATGTTTGTCAGGACATAATCCCATCGTAAGTTAGGAGCATCTGTATACATCCAGAAGCCTGAAATATTCAATCAGTGTAGAAAGCATATTCTATGGATGAAATCACATAAAACGAAATAACTGAAAACATGAGAATTGCTTTTCATGACACAGCACAGTTTTTTGTTCGGCACTTCTATGAAGTTAGCATATTAAATGAAAGCACTATATGGTGAACGCCTAAGCATAGAGTCTGTTCCTGGGAACTGATGTGTTCATCTAGGGTGGGTTTTGTGAACTTGAGCAAATCATTTAAGGGGAAGTAAACAAGTACCCTTGGCTGTAAACCACCCCGGAGAGGTGTGAGGAGCAAAGGAGATAAACCAGAGAACCTCACCACTCTAAAACTACTCAGTAAACATTAACAATTGTACTATTTTACCCCGTGTTTTTAAAATGTCATTCCTATGTACTAATATGCATAGCTATTCTTTAAAACAGACTTAAAACTAGTTACAGTAGCCAATAATTTCTTACTTGTGCTTCTTCTGGATAACTATGGGTTGGATACAAAAATTGTTATGTCAAAAAAATTTCATGATCTCAGCACCCGTCCACTCCTGTCCTTTCCCGAGTTCATCCCCACCTACCCCTGTTGGCACAGTGTAGCTTCTACTCAGGTACTCTTCAAAGACTCACCACAAAAGGTGCTCAGATATGCGTGACCTCACTAATGATGATTTTAAATATTATAAGGCAATTAGTGTGTTCTTAGGTGACTTTTTAATGTGCATGCCAGAAGATGGTTTTCTCACTAATGGACATAAGAAACTAAAGCTATTATAACTAGAAAGGAATTACTATTCTAAATAATTGATTTCTATTCTTTCCCTTTTTTTAAATTAGTATTTCTCTGAACAGCCATTGAAGAATCTTCTGCTTTCAACTTCTGAAGAACAAATTGAAAAATGTTTTATAATTGAAAATATAAGCACAATTGCTACAGTAGAAGAAACTAATCAAACTGATGAAGATCATGAAAAATACAGTTCCCAAAACTGCCAGGATTCAGGAAATTATTCTAATGAAGATGAAAGTGAAAGTAAAACAAGTGAAGAACTGTAGCAGGACTTTGTATGACCAGAAGTGAACTCTGTAAAGCAGAAGGTTTTTCTGCAGGAGTCACACTGGGAGCCTGAGCTCCTTGCCTTACTCTCAGTCACTGCAAAGAGGACATTTGCTTGTTTGGGGAAGAAAAAACATCTTCAGTTACAGATCCTAAACATACAGGTAAGCACTTAACTATTTAAAAATGAAATTACACCAGGCGCAGTGGCTCACGCCTATAATCCCAACACTTTGGGAGGCTGAGGCTGGCAGATCATCTGCAATCAGGAGTTCAAGACCAGCCTGGCCAACGTGGTGAAACCCCGTCTCTACTAAAAACAAAAATTAGCCGGGTGTGGTGGTGCACGCCTGTAATCCCAGCTACCGGGGAGGCTGTGACATGAGAATCTCTTGAAATTGGGAGGTGGAGGTTGCAGTGAGCCAAGATTACGCCACTGGACTCCAGCCTGGGCGACAGAGTGAGACTCCCTCTCAAAAAAAAAAAAAAAAAAAAAAAGGAAGAAAAAGAGAAATTGCAAGAGTTGAGACAAACGTTTCCTACATTCTTTTCCATGTGTAAAATCTTGAAAAAGCCTGTCACTGGACTTGCATTGGATGAGATGAGTCAGATCAAAACCACGGCCACCCGTCTCCCTCCTGCCAGCCCAAGTGCTACTGAGCTAGCCGTGCACTGTGGCTAAGGATGGCAGCTGTGTTCCTGTCCATCACTGGTGCTGCTGCCCACTGCATGTGTCCCACCTGTCTGCTGGCATTCCTAGCATTCTGTTTCATTCTTCCTCAGGAGAGATTTCAAACATCTGGTCTTTTAACACTGAGGCAGGCCCTTAGGAAGTGTATCTAGGAAAGCCTGAACACATTATCACTTGGTTTTCTGGAAAGTAGCTTACCCTAGAAAGCAGCTGCAGATGCCAGAAAGATGCTCCCTAAAAATGTTCAGAGACTTCTGTTTGTTTATCCCGAGAACGTTGGTTTCCACATCACAGTATCTACCCTTACATGGTTTAGGATTAAAGCCAGGCAATCTTTTACTATCCATTAACACTTCCAATTCAAAACTTACCAGAACAATAGCTTCTGGCTGGAATTTGCAGTCACTGAAGTCATAGAAAATAGATAACTAATTAGAGAAATAATGGTTATGTTTTAAGGTCTGAGAGTGTGTACAAGTTTTAATATACATGCCATGCCAGGAGACAGTGTATGCAAGAAGTCCTGGGACCAGAACATGGCAATGCTGGAAGACTGACACAGAAGTAGACTTCCGCAGGAAAGACATTGCTGGCTGTGGCGCAAGAGGAAGCATGCTGTTCCACGGGAGCCTGAGCGCCTCTTCAGCTCTCAGTGATTCTCACACTCTTGTTATGGCTCATCTGTGTCACTTTCAATACCAAGCTGGCTTCTCTGCACTGCCTAGCAGTATTCAGATACCCCTTCTACTCAGCCTGCTTGGCCTTAAAATACAAATCATTGAACTGAGGGAAGAAAGGTAACTAGGAAGAAAAACCTAATTTAAGAAATTACATAATGCTTTCCAAAGGCACTTACAACTTATTTTTAAATTACTTGGCTACTGGGAATTACCCATGGATATCCTTAATAGGCAGGAAGTCTGGGAATTCTGGTGGCCTCTAGGACAGGGTTCTCATAGCACGGTCTGACAGGGACCAGGTGAAAGAGAAAGGAGACAAAGTTAAGAGCGTGCTGGGGAGCAGCCATTGCTGAGGCCAGTCTGATTTCAGTAGTCATTTCTGCTCAGATAACAGATTGTCCTGGTGGTAGAAAAGATTGAAGGCAGCTGCCTTAGGGAGGGCTGTGAGCTCAGCACATCCGGGGCACATACACCAGTCTGCGGGCCACACCATGCATGTTCCCGGATCTGCCACTTGGCTTCCAGAGTGGTTCAAGCAGAGCATAGTGGGCCACTGAGGAGACCCAGGAATCTCTTGAGATACAGCCCTCTGCTGGAGAACCCCACAGTGACACCTTTTCATCTTTCTGACCAGAGGCGTTTGGTTTGAAGTACATCTGCTGTGTTGGCCTGATCTTTGTAAAAGCCCTGTCACTTTGGAAGTTTGCCCCTTTGAAGAGGCGATTGGGAACATATCATGACTCCCTGCCACCATTGCTTCTCAGACGACCCAATTCAAGGATCCTATCCAGGACTTCCAGCCCTGTGTTCTCCAGTGGGAAAACGTGCTTCAGACTGGTTAGCCTAAAAAGGAGCAATGCCTTTGCAGGATGTGGAGAAGGGAAAATACGGAAATTAACATTAAAAGACATGAGTGAAATTGTTAGGTCTCTAGGAAGTAGGAGCACAAGGCGTCATGTTTTGAGACTATCTGGTTTTCAGTGAATGAGCACTGAGCACCAGACTTGAAAAGGCAGTTCCGGCCGGGAGCAGTGGCTCACGCCTGTAATCTCAGCACTTTGGGAGGCATGAGGTCAGGAGTTCTAGAGCAGCCTGACCAACATGGTGAAACCCTGTCTCTACTAAAAATACAAAAATTAGCTGGTCACAGTGGCATGCGCCTGTAATCCCAGCTACTCAAGAGGCCGAGGCAGGAGAATCGCTTGAACCCGGGAGGCGGAGTTGCAGTGAGCCGAGATCGTGTCACTGCACTCCAGCCTGGGCGACAGAGTAAGACTCAGTCCCAGGAAAAAAAAAGAAAAAAAAAGGCAGTTCCACTCTACCCTTAATTATGTTCTACAAGTTGCTTAATCAGCATATGCTTAAATGACAAGTATTTTTTCTGAACAGAAGTTTACTTAGAAATACCGTGCACTTGGGGGTATCAATAAACTGCGTCAAAACTAGCATATTGATAGTTAGTTTTTAGACCAAATATAACTACAAATTTATATGAAAGACTTGTATCGTTAGAGCCAGAAATAGTTTTATATTAATATGTGATACAGATTAACATATGATGTGCATGTGTAACTTCCGACATGGGCCTGTAAACGTATTCATTTATGTACCTGCACATGTATCCACATGATGTGGGTCTTACTCCTTTAGTATGAACTTAAAGTACTTACTAGTATAGCTTGTAACTAAAAGTTGGAAATGCTCCCCAGAATTAGGAACTTTAAGAGTCTGACCAGAAATTTACCACTTACAAAAAAAGTTAGTTTTAAAAATGTAAGTTAGGGCTGGGCACTGCGGCTCGTGCCTGTCATCTCAGTACTTTGGGAGGCCAAGGCAGGAGGATCCCTTCAGGCCAGGAGTTCAAGACCAACCACCCTGGGCAACATGGCCAGACCCCAGCTTTATTATATATAAAATTTAAAGTTTGTGTCTTCCCCCAAAAGAGGCTGTGACATTTACAGCAGCCTGAAATTGCTCTTAAGGGGCTGGGGTGTGCAGAAGCTTTCCTTCCCCCACACAGGAACCCAGTGACTACCTGACATGTTCTGTATTTGTTTTGTTTGATGTCTGTCTCCCTGCCCGGCTGCTAGAACAGAGGCTCCATGAGAGCAGGGACTTTGTTGTTCATTGCTGCATCCCCAGTAATGAAGATACTCAGAAAATAGTTACTGAATGAGTGAAATCCAAACTGTGAATCAAAGGGTGTTTGTGGCAGTGTTTGTATGTGTTACTGAATTGTGAAAGGGCATAGCTGTGTTTTCAGTGTTTCTATGCAACAACCTTGCACATTTTTATTTCACTTGTGTTTTGTCTTAAACCCTACTGCTGGAAACAATTTTGTATAACAAACAATGGGCCCAAAAGTCTGGAGGTTTTCGCACTTAGTTAATTTTTATGCAATAAAGATGCTGCAGTTGATGCCTTTAAGAAGTATTCATTGTGGAAGGGCTGAGGCCTGTGCTGTGTTCCTGGGCCCGGGGTTGAGCCTCCTGAAGGAGTCACTGAACCGTCACTGTCCCCAGAGCCGGTGCAGACAGAGCTCGTTGGCTGCCTTTTCTTCCCACTCTCAAGGCATGGCTGGAGCGCAGCCTTCATTAAGTGAAAGCTCGCTGTGGTGTTGCATAGCCTTGCTTTTTGAACTAAACTGTTTTCCCTTCACGAGTACTCCTTCCGTCAGAATTAGTTCGTTCCAAGGAGGCTCCTCCATCTCACGGATCAGTAGATGTCTCCTGCTGTCTGGACACATGTGACTTGGAAATTGAATACAGTTTGTATTTAGGCTGGGAACCTTCCACGTTTGTGTTTTTAAGCTTTCCTTTTTTACAGTGGACAAGCACACAAGTAATAAATCATCCCTAATGCCCTGTTACTCAGTAATGACAAAATACCAGTAACTTCCAGTTTTTTCTCACTACCTTTTTTCTTGACTAAGATGATGACAGCAACTCTTGAGGGCAACATAAATGTATGTAGACATTTGTGGTGTGATGACGATGGAAAAATAGCAATCCTTTTCTTCACCTGAGGGGAACAAAGGCAAGAGGAGAATTCAGTGGTGTGTCATAACAAAGGATTTCTGAGTTTCCTCCCCTTTCTTTGATCTGTCTCTACTTGGAACTCATATTCTAGCAGAGGACATTTTGTGGGTGAAGAAGTGATTAGTGATGAGGATGAAGAAAATGTTGGCAGTTCCAGCTGGCCGGCATGGTGAAACCCCGTCTTTGCTAAAAATACATAAAATTAGCCGGGTGTGGTAGTGCACATCTGTAGTCCCAGCTACTCAGAAGGCTAAGGCAGGAGAATTGCTTTAACCCAGGAGATGAAGGTTGCAGTGAGCTGAGATCACACCACTGCACTCCAGCCTGGGTAACAGAGTGAGACTCCATCCCAAAAAAGAAAAGGAAATGTTGTCAGAGCAGATATTCCTTTTTTTTTTTTTTTTTTTTTTAAGGTCTTGGGATGAGGGAGGAAATTGAAAAATCATACCACTCAGTAGCTAGATTAAACATTACTTCTCACAGTGACTGACCACACTTGTGTGTCCCGCCCAGATTTTCTGGATCCATCATAGAGGAAGCAGCTAAGGGGAAGTTCAGAAGAAAAACCTGTTTTCCTGTCTTTCCAGTGAAAGGGTCTTTTTCCCTACACTTAGTCCTTAAATAGATAATAGGCTTTTTGTGTACTTTGTTGTCTATTCCCAAATTTTATAATACTTTTAATATTCTGGAATTGTACTTAGAGAAAGAGATGATTCTAAATGCTGTAGTATAGAAGTAGGTCATCCACTCTGAAATCCTCCTGAAAGATCTCCACTGCAACGTGCAGGCGTCATCGTGCCCCATCTGTGCCTGTACCTGCTCCCTAGGAAAGAGATTTTATACCATTTGCCTACGTGTGTCTCCTGCTAGAATATGGCAAGCTCCATGCGAGC